AGACATGAGCGCAGATCTCACCGATCATTAATTACTTGTATTATTAAAGCAATGGTTCTTAAACCATGTATATGAAAAATTTTAAATGTAAACCCAATGTAACTTTCGAAGTTTGAACCTACTTAATCTATTGTAACCTAATGGGTTTTGCTTTTATATATGGCGGTGGTCTAAGGCGGGTTGGCAGCAGTATCATTTCATTCGCTTTCGAACCCCTGAAGAGACCGCCTCGATTATTTTGAAACGTTTTTCACGCCAATGGCACACTCGTACTCGCTAAGTAGTTTTGAATTTACCTTGAATTAATAATTGAATTGATATAATCAAACCTTGTAAAATTATTGCATTCCACAAAGGAAACACCTTGAGTATTCTAAATTAACTTTGCACACCATTACTTCAGGCTAAGCATGAACATGGTCCTATCGATCCGCAAAAGGATTGGCAACCCCGAATAAAAGTGTTTGCATGCACTGAACACACCACTCGGTAACTTACTTCAGACTTCTCGCTCAAATCAGTTGAGTTTAAAACGTTGAATAAGCAAGGCGGTCAGCGGTCGCGTTCGGACGATATTTATGTACAGCGGTTGCAAGAGTGAAAAAAAACTGTTAACACAAAGAAAAAAAAACAAAACTAACTAAAAGCGAAAAAGTGCTTACAGTGCCTTACAGGGTACAGTACATTAGTAGCAGTAAAAAAAAAAAATTGTTTAGTGCTAGCAGTGATACCTGCACCACGCTCCCATTTCAAGCGCTAGCAGTGATACCTGCGCCTCTACATTTAAACCGCTAGCAGCGATACCTGCGCCCCCAAATTGAAAGCGCTAGCAGCGATACCTGTGCCTGAACCCTACACTAAAAAAAAAAATATAATAAATAACGCTGAGCTACAAACGCAAAACAAAAAAAAACAAAAAAAAACAATACAAACTAAAAACTCTTAAACCAAATCTAAAAATAACGGCGAGAGCAGCATACCTGCGCCGCACAAAACATCACATCCCCGCTATACCCAGACAAGAAAAGGAAGTTAAAGGTGCATTCACCCTAGTTCCGAAATACGCAAGCAGCAAGGTTCAGCAGGGAGCGTAATCACACCAATCACAAGAAATCAGCGGAGGAGGGTACAGGCGACAAAAAAAAGCATACAGGCATTCAACAAATGGAACGCCTTTCGGGAAGCTCTCCCAGCAATTAGTGAGATAAGCATCCCCCGGTGGGTACAATTCTCGCCCGCGAAGGCCATTTAATTACATGGATTTGCGGACGCTCCCGAAAAGCCATTTAGCGCTTGCATTTATATTCGAATTCAACATAGCGAAACCTCCTTTTCGTCACACTTGCTTGGCGCAAAAAGCAAAGTCGCTCCACTACAAACTGTCAGCCTCCCTCGTTTAGAACTTTGTGGAGCAGTCTTGCTCTCCAAACCCGTGAAACAACTGCGCGCCCAACTGCACCTGCCACCCCATGAACTAACTCTTTGGTCTGATTCTTCCGTAGTACTGGCGTGGTTAGAAAACCCGCCACACACGTGGAAGACGTACGTAGCCAACCGAATTTCTCAAGTACTTCAGAATGTCAGCAATGCCAAGTAGAGACATATTTCAAGCGCAGACAACCCTGCAGATTTAGGAACCCGCGGATGTCGACCGCAAAATTTAGTTGGCTGCTCATTATGGTGGAACGACCCGGAATGGCTGGCTCAGCCCTCCACGTTGTGGCCTAAACTTGCGACGCAACATCCCTCTCCGCCAGAACAGAAGCAAGTTGAAGTGTACTACACTGCGGAAAATGACGATCTCCCCGAACGGTTCTCCTTATATGCAAGAGCACTTCGAGTTCTTGCATTCATGCTACGATTTATTAATAAATCTCGTAAATAGTCTCTTCCGTCCACCCTCCTTTTAACGCAGGAGAGATAAATATGGCTAAAGTTCGTCTCATCAAGAATGCTCAATACAAATACTATGGAGAAACCATCGCCACATTGAATGCCGCGAAACCCACCAGTAAAAAGAGTTCTTTACTTTCCCTCAACCCGATGTTAGACAAAGCAGGCGTGATTCGAGTGAACGGCCGTCTCGCATATGCTGCACTCAGCTACAGCGAACGGCATCCTATCATAAGCCCAGACAACTCTAGATTGTGCTCTCTTTTATATCCCGCGTTTAAGGCAGAAGGTCAAAAAATGCATTTTTCACTGTAAAACCTGTACTATTTACAAACAACAAATGAAATCTCAAATAATGGCCGCCCTCCCTCCAGAACGCTCAACATACTCTCTACCGTTTCATACCACTGGTCTTGGCTTCGCTGGCCCGTTTATGGTGACAACGTCCGTCCTGCGAACAGCCTGACACACAAAGGCATATGTGTGCGTGTTTGTATGTTTTTCAACAAAAGCCATTCACCTCGAAGTGTGTTCTGATTTGACCACTGAGGCTTTTAAGGCGGCCTTTGCTCGATTTGTCGGCCGCCGTGGTATTCCGCACAAAATCATGTCTGACAACGGCAAAACCTTTGTTGGAGCCCAGAGATCAATTCAAAGAGAATTTCTCTCTTCCTCAACGAAGTCACTTCGGATGTGGCGGAAAAGTATGCTGCCCATGGGCTATCATGGCAGTTTTTGCCTCCCTATGCTCCCCATATGGGTGGCCTGTGGGAAGAAGCCGTTAAAAGTTTCAAGACACATTTCACCAAGGTCGCTGGGAGCCAAAAATTCACCTTTGAAGCCTTCAATACCCTCCTTGTGCGAATCGAAGCGGTTCTTAACCCGCGACCACTCTCTCCTATGTCCCAGGATCCCAATGACGTATCGGCGTTAACTCCAGGCCACCTCTTACGCGGTGCTCCACTCCTGTCAATACCAGAACCCAATGTAGGAAACCACTCCCTAATAAACAAGTGGCACATGATTAAAGTTCTCCACCACCAATTCAGTTCGCGATGGAAAAACGAGTACCTGAAAGAATTCCATAAAAGGCACAAATGGAAACATCCGCAAGTTAACATAAACGAGGGGGACTTAGTAGTCGTGAGGGATGATCTTTTACCTCCGAACGAATGGCGGCTGGGAAGCGTTGTGAAACTGCATCCGGGTCCCGATCAGAACGTTCGCGTAACAGAAGTTCAAACTCAGGCAGGGACAATCACGCGAAATATTACGAAATTATGCCTACTGCCCCCTATGTAGCTTTGGGGTATCTTTACCCTGTCCAAAACCATTTTATACTCTTATTATTATGTGTTCAACTCATCTCACCAACTCATATGTTTATAAACGTATCCTTAAACTACGCGCAAACCCACGAGTCTAATACCACTTACGATTTTTTCTCTGCAGATCATCCAAGGAAACGATGGAGCTCAACAAGTGTCGTCTTTGCTGCCGCGTGCACTCCTTGCGGCACTGTCATGCTTTCAAGGCTATGACTCCGGCTGAAAGATATGAGTCTGCGCGCGTACATAAGTACTGCGTAAACTGTTTGGCGACATCCAATGTTACCGGCGCCTGTCACTCACCTGCCAGCTGCCATCGCTGCGGAAAAGCTCACCACACGCTGTTGCATCGAGCATCATCCTCATCGCCAGGTCGTAGCCGGCGAGAAGTGAGCCGGAAGAAAACCGTGGCTAGTCGAAGGGCGATTCGAAAGCCGAAGGGCAGAGTGCAGACTCGGACCTCTACCCAGCAACGCATATGGGAGTTGTTCAAGCGGGCTATGCTTACGCTCCAAAGTCTACAACAGCTGCTACGTATTCCAACGTACCAGGCCGGCCGCCATGTCGGAGACATGAGCGCAGATCTCACCGATCATTAATTACTTGTATTATTAATGCAATGGTTCTTAAACCATGTATATGAAAAATTTGAAATGTAAACCCAATGTAACTTTCGAAATTTGAACCTACTCATTGTAACTTAATCTATTGTAACCTAATGGTTTTTGCTTATTATATATTGCGGCGGTCTAAGGCGGGTTGGCAGGAGTATCATTTCATTCGCTTTCGAACCGCTGAAGAGACCGCCTCGTTTATTTTGAAACGTTTTTCATGGCAATGGCACACTCGTACTCGCTAAGTAGTTTTAAATTTACCTTGAATTAATAATTGAATTGATACAATAAAACCTTGTAAAATTATTGCATTCCACAAAGGAAACACCTTGCGTATTCTAAATTAACTTTGCACACCATTACTTCAGGCTTAGCATGAACAGTAAGAAGTCTTGAAAGTCAATATTTTTCGATCGGAAAACTCTGGTTCTCTTCAGAAGACTTTCAATAATAACACCCAATTGTTTATTTAACCATTTTTTAATACTAACGATTTATTATTGGTGACCCCATTGCATTCTTCGGAGGTTTTGTGGGTTTTTGGCGGACCTATAAATTATACTTGCAATGAAAAAATGGTAAATGGAAAAAATAATCAATTGGGTATTATTATTGGGAAGCTCCCGCATATTTTTCTGGTAGAAAATATTGATTTTTAACTATTCTATACCATTTCTACGTAAAGTGGTTTTTCCCCCATATAAAATACATGGATAATTTTGGGCGCTTTGAGCGACCTATAAACATTTTTTGATTTCAAGATAAAAAAATAGGGGTATATCTTTTTCGGTACAGAACAACTGTTGTGTGAGAGTATAAAAATTCCGACTTTACTTTTTCACATGCATTTTTGGACCACCTTAATATACACACACCACAATTTTGTGTATCAGCTGTTTACTTGTATACCAACCCTGCTTTTACTACCACCTTTATCACGGTGCCGCCATATTTTTACTCACTTAAATAAAGAGCTTATTGAAGCTGAAAAAAAATAATAGAGAATTGAATAAAAAAAATTGTATTAAAGTTAATTTCCTCTTAAATGAGTTTGGTGGAACGCAGTCTTACAGTAATAAGATAAAAAGGAGATAAGATCCATTAAAACTTTTACAAAGTTCGCTAAATTTACCGTTGTGGCGAATAGCCGTAGTTCTTATAAAGTCTATATAACTGTGTATATAAATATAGAAATATACAATAAATAATATCTTTGGTTTAAAATATACTTTAGCCTCAAATCAAACTTACCCACTACTTTAAGTTCGACAAATATTGATTCTGTAGGATAAATAGATAACTGGCATTCGTACAACCCGCGGTCACTTTCGCGTACAGACTTAATCCTTAAAGACCAGTGTCCCATATGACGTGCATGTTCAACAAGAAATCTTTTATCACTGCTGTGTGTTGAGAGTCCAACTGTTAACAATTGGAAATCCTTTCTTCTAATCCATGAAACCTTGAATTATACAAAATACCTATACTTAAAATACTATGTATCAAATGAATAGTTATCTACATACTTATTAAAAAAAAAAAACTAGCAGAATACCCGACGTCGCACAATGGGCCATATGAAAACATTAGCCGGAAAAAATGAAAATAGCATTTTGATATTTTGATAATTACTACTTGTCAAGAAATGTCCAATTACATGGGAAAAAATACCCTTTGGTGCTTTAAAGCTCACTTTAGTATGTAGCTTTCTTGTAAGTCAAAGTTGAAGTTTTGACACTTTTTTTATAAAAATTACACAAATCAAATGGACATTTTTAAAAAGTGGTCTATTGTTCATCATAGTGGTGTGCCAGAACGCTGAAAAGTTTTTATTTGGCATGAAACGATGCTTTTGTTATAAAATAAAAACAATTTACATATCGTTGTCTTAGTGTACAAACGTGCTAAGTCCATTTTTTTTTTAATTTTTCAGGTGGGACAAAAAGTCGCCTAACTTTTTTGTTGTTAATATTTTCCTAATCTGTAAATGCAATTTTCTTCCTTAGTTCGTCTTGCCGATTTCGAAATAAAGCTGTTGCTCTTTCATTTTCTATTTATGATTTTGCTCTTTTTATGTGGAGTTAACACATTTTCTATCAACCTGTTTTTCATAATTTTTTTATTGTTAAAGGATTTAGTTGTTCATTTTAAATAAGTTGTATTGTTTTAAAATGAATAATAACCTAATATAGTCTTATTTCACTGCTGTTAACAAAAATAACTAAATTAAGTCGTAAAGTTATGTACGATTTATAAAGCAAAATACTAAAAAACAAGTAAAGAGGTATAAGTATGGGCGAAACCGAACTTTATACATATACCCGGCACGGGTATCAAATATTGTCGTTTTAACTTATGCGTGATAAGCAGGATTAAGATTCAATGCTGCTTCGGGCACCGTTCTCTTAGACTAAACGCTGCCTATATATAGAAAAATACCCTGGCGTATATCATGGCACCTTTAATGGTAAACAAAATGGCCCTACTGGCGCCCCTTACTGATATCCTGCGCTGCAATAAAAATGCACTGACCTAATGGAGTATATCAAAGTACCCTTAATGGCACACAAAATTGCGTTCATACTGGCGCCGTTATAGTACCCTTACACCATGTTCTGACCGACATCGAAAACATGTTTTCGTTGCTAAAACTGGTTTTCGACTTAAAACTTGTGTTTTCGTCCATGTAAAATCTGTCAAACGAAAACCAGTTTTCGCTGAAAACTACTTGAAAACTCACGTTCCACTCATTCCAATCGGTGTCTTCACTGGTTTTTTTCGATTAAGTCATATTTTATCATCTTTAATACGGAATTTCGGATTTATTGTTAATTGGCTGGCAAAAGTAAAATACGAATGAAAATAAGAGGTTGCTAATGAAAAGAAAATGAGGGAAAAGCATTTTGGTTTTGTTTTTGTGTAGCAAAACTGTAATCAGAGGATGTAAGAAATGTCAACGAAAACACTAACAGCCGGTGTGCACAGCCTTCAGCCCACAATCCCAAAACACGTTTTCAAAGTGTTTTTGTTGTCGGTCAGAACATGGTATTACCATACTTCGCGTTACAAATGAGGATGGAGTCCGCTTGTAGTACGAGCCCTATTGGACTGGATGGTTTTACAAACTAATTGCATTCAATTGTTTTAAAATTATAATTAATGTCATGGTCTGTCAGAATTATTAGTTTCTGTATACTAAATAAATAAATGAATAAATATAATTTAACCAAGTTTGGTAGAAATGGATAAATTGGTTACGGAGACTCACCATAAGTGTGTGCGGTGCCATGCCCAATTCCTTCTATATCAGTCTTATCTATTATTAAGAGATTTGTTGTAATATAATATACATATGTATGTCTATTCAATAGCAATTAAAGTGAGGGTAAGTACAAAGAGATTGAAGAAATTCTTGTTTTAACATTTGTATAACGCATGTATTGCAGATGTGTATAATGTATATATTACAGGTTTGTACAAAGTGCTAGAGCGAATAAGGTGACCAGGTATATATTATAAGTTGTTCACATTATAACACCCTTCCTGAACAACTTATTTCTATGCGTTCGAATTACAGAAATATTTATGTGGGTTAATAATTCCAAATGAAATGAAAGTATGTTTTGCTTAGTTAAGTTACTTAAGACCAAATTTAGCGGAAAAATATGTTAATTTTCGAGCGGTAACGCCCTTTGTTAAAATGTCTGCAACCATCTCGTTGGTAGGTAAATACTTCAAAACAACTTGCTTATGTTCGATAAGTTGCCGGATAAATTTCGACTTTATGTCTATATGTTTAGTACGTGGTGAGTAGGAGTGACTTGAGCAGCGAATAATAAGCAGCTAATTGCTTACATGTACGGAACTTCGTCCATATCTGGCCTTTCACTAACATCTTTTGGTGACATGTCAGATGATACTTTTTGGTTATAGTCAAATGGTGTTGACAGGGGATTAGCATCGCTCATACCAAAACGCTTCAACACATCTAGTACATACTGAGATTGATCTATTTGTATAAAATTATCATTCACTGTGATTCTCACACCAAGTACTGAAGTGGCTACACCCATATCTTTAATGTCGAATTTTTTTGCCAATTTGTCGTTCAACCAAGCTATTTTGTTTGGGCTATTGGAGAAAATCAAAACACCATTTGCAACGAACGGCATTTTATCACCATCGACGTTGTAATAGATGCATTGGTGCACGTTACTTCTAACGTGGACGTAGGACGTGGACCATTGCCGTGCAGCCAAATACGCGAATATGTTTCAAGCTTGGCCTTTCTTGAGACCAAAGTTCCTCCGGACTACGCTTGTATTCTCAGCATGGCACCNTTCAAGCTTGGCCTTTCTTGAGACCAAAGTTCCTCCGGACTACGCTTGTCTTCTCAGCATGGCACAAAATTGGTTGAATACGCCGCGGTCGCAGCAGCTCTTGCCCAAAAACGCTCGTCAACGCCACCGTCTATAAGCATACAACGAACCCGCGGTTAATTCGCTCCGTTACACCGTTTTGCTCTGGTGCATACGGAAATGTAGTTTGGTGAATGATCCCACTTTTATTCAAAAATAATTTAAAACTTTCATTCACATATTCTCAGCCACTATTAGTTCGCAGAACTTTTTCGTTTTTGAGCACTGGTTCTCAACCATATTTTTTGAATTTTAAAAATGTTTCAAAGACGTCTGATTTATTCTTAATTAAGTAAGCAAATACCCTTCGCGTAAAGTCATCGACGAAGCAAACCAGTAAGCGAGCACCCGAAAACGATTTTGTCTTTAATGGACCAAGCACATCTGAGTGAATCAGTTCTAAAACATTACTTGCGCGCGTGCCCTTTTTTTTATTCGGTTTACGTGTCTAGTTCCATTTTATGCACACTTTACAACATTCACTATTTATTATGCCAAATAATAACCATCATTGCTTTGTTGCACTTTGTGTAATGAACTATTGCAAATATGGCCCATTCGTCGATGCCATGTTTCAAATACATTTTTCACTATCACCGCGGATGCCTTTGTCTTGTTAATTTTACCATTTAGTTGGTAAAGATTATTATGGACCGATGCACTAGGGACAACTTCGTTGTTTTCGTTTGAAATAGTGCACATGCCGCCTTCAAACACTACTCGCTTACCATTTTTTGGCCCTTTGGCGAACCGACAGAAGATTTGCGCATAAGTCAGGAACTTACTCGACATTTTTATACCTTTCATGAACATGAAATGGTATTATAACTTTGGTGCGATGTTTGTAAGTACCAGAATAATAAGAGATAGACCCATTGAAATGTATACTTAATTGATCAGAACGCCGAGCTGAGTCGATTTAGCCATGTCCGTCTGTCAGTCTGTTTGTATGCAATCTAGTCTCTCAGTTTTCTAGATATCCGGATGAAATTTGGTAGGTGGGTGTATTTTTGATACTGATTGTTCAGAAATGAGATTTTTCGTTACAACTTCTCAATTTATGCACATGAAATTTCGCAATACTTCCACCCATTATCAACTGAAGGCTTAGAGTGAAAATTAAAAGATCAGGTCACTATAACCTATAGCTCCCATAAAACTGATTGTTCAGATATAAGATTTTTCGTTATAACTCCTTCATTTAAGTAGCTAGGAACATAAATTTTGCACTGTTGTCACTCATTATCAAAAAATACTTTCAGT